ATTTTTTATTTATTTTATTTTTTATTTATTTTATTTTTTATTTATTTTATTTTTTATTTATTTTATTTTTTATTTATCTTATTTTTTATTTATTTTATTTTTTATTTATTTTATTTTTTATTTATTTTATTTTAGTGGTCGTAATTTAACACAAAACATTATTAAACAGGATCAAATGAATCTCACACTCTGGAATGGTTTTGCTCAAGCTGAAGCATCATCAAATAAAATTGCAGAGGTAATTAATCATATATCTTTTAATTTAGAATGTTATTAAATATTATTGATACTTTGATTTGATTAATTTATTGATAAATTTTATTATATTGGATGCAATTCAGGCTCGAAAAGTATATTTAGGAGCTCTCGCACAATATCGTACATTTCCAATACAATTTCGTTTTGATGCGCCATTGTTGCATCGTACGTTTGCCGAAATGGAGATCGAACAAGGAAATCACAAAACTGCAATGAGTAAATTTGATTTTTGATATTTTTTTTTTTTAAATAATTTTTATTTTCGATTTGGCTATATAATATATTTACATTTATATTTAAATTAGATATTCTTGTAAATTTGACGGAGGAACAAGGAACAATAGGTCAGGATTTTAAATTAAAAAAAAATTCACAATTTTCTAATTCAATGTTCTAATTTACAAATTTTTTTTTGTATTTTGGTGTTTAGATTCTATATCTGAAATAGATGTTCCAATTACAAAATTATTAAGAGCGCGAAAGGTTTTATTTGGGTTTTTTTTTTTTATGAAATATATCATAAATAAAATATCACTTTATACTTAAGAAAACTTTCTTCACTTTTTTTTTTAGTATTATTCTCAACAAATAGTTCGAATTACGGATCCTTTAGCATCGCAGAAAGATTTTCTAAATTCTTTGCACTATCATGTTTGTTATGCTTTAATGGAATGTCTTAGTCAAAATATACAACAAGCATGTAAAATATTTGAAGAAATGTTACAGACTTTTGAAATAAAATCAGAGAGTGAAAATGTTGAAATAGAATGGATTTATATGAAATATCCTTTTTTTTATTTTTTGAATTATTTATTTATTTATAATTTTAAATTGATTGTAAACATTTTATATAATAATATCATTATTTATGTCTTTAACTAAATTTATTATTTATACTTATGTCAAAATAATTTATCAACATTCGACTTTATTTGGAAGTCTCAATTCAGGTGTTAATCATGGAAAGTTATTGCGAGAAGTTCTTGACAGAGCTCTTAAATTATTTCCTAATAATACGATATTTTTACTTTTATACTTTCATGAAGAAACCCGAGGGGAGCGGATACCTCCTCTTGGATTACAAAAGTTTTTGAAAGAGGCTTTAAAAAAGTAAATATTATTAATAATCATTTTTTAAATTATTTTCTTGAACCATTTCTTGTCTTTACATAATAATAATAATTTAAATAATGACATTTTTTTTAGGAATCCAACTCATATTTTATGGACTGTCGCGATTTATGATGAATTACATCGTCAACAACCATATAATATTGATCGGGTTAGATCTTTATTTTATAAATCTTTAGAATGTTTTACGTAAGTTTTATTTTACATACATATAAGAAGATTATTGAATTGATTATAAAATGATAACAACCACCTATTTTTTTACATTGTTTTTTTGTAGTACAAAAAATTCCATTTCATTGTGGTCACTCTTTATTCATTTTGAAATTAATAATGGAGAATTATATCGAGCCAAATCTTTATATTATAGAGCTATAAGGGAATGTCCTTGGTCAAAGGGTAAGTTCAACACACATACACACACAAAACACACATTTTAAAATAACAATTACGAAAATCAATATTTTTTGAACTAATTTATTATAATTTATAACTCTTTTAGATCTTTATATGATAGCATTTCGTGAATTAAAGTCACAATTCAAAACAGATGAATTAGACGAAATTATGAATGTGATATTAGAGAAAGAAATCAGAATAAGAATTCCTATTGAAAATTTTATTACTACTACTACTACTGATGATGGTGATAACAATAATAATAACAATGTATTATCAACAAATGAAACAGAAACAGTAACGAAATTAACCTTTATTAATACTGAATAAAATCTAATTTCCAATGCATGTCTTAATTAGCTTAAAATATTTTTATAATCTTTGATTTCTATTTTTAAAAGTAAATTTTATATATTCTTTTCCGAATTCTAATTAAAAAAAAAACAAATCCCTTCGTCTAATCTACATATCTTTTCCTTTTTTTTAATATTTATTCCACAATTTTGATGGGCGCGTGTTTCATATATAAAAATTCAAAGGAAATTTTACAAATTTACACGAATTGCTGTTCATTTATGAAATAATATGAAAAAAAAGGAATTAGAGAGTACCATACTAGGGGATCGTCTAAAGCAGTGTTTAGTCATGTCACATGACTAAACACTGCTTTAGACGATCCCCTAGTATGGTACTCTCTAAAGCTCCTCATAGGCCGAGCCGAGCCGAGCCTCATAAAGCTCAGGCCGAGCCGAGCCCAAAAGTCTTAGGCTCGGCTCGAGCCTCATAGTAGGCTCATAAACTTAACAATTCACAGACTTTTTTTAATAATGCGAATTTCTTTATT